AGGTGGAGGACTTTGTGGACTGGTGTTGGGTAAATGGGTTAATGTTGGACTTGTGGGCTTGGGCAGCATTGGGTTGGGATGTTTTCATGATGCACATTTTCTTTACATAAAACTCTCTTATACATGAGTTGCTGTGGATTTGTTTCTCCAAAGTACCTAAACTAATACAATAGGAATGAGTGTTCTGTTAAATGCCTTATCTGCATCCATAGGTATAATCATGTGCTTATTTTATTATAGCGATTGTTTTCTAATGCGTACTACGTTTGGGATGTATGTGTAACTGTTGTGTTATTTGTATTGTTTTACAGTTATTACAAAGTAGATAGCAGACATAAGGACATTGGTGTTTGCTCTATTGTACTACAAGAGTAGAGTGCATTTTTGTGAGAATGCCTAGGTTTATGTTTGTTTCATGTAGACACCATTAATAATTTTTTTGCCACAATTAATAATTTATTGAGAATTACGTCAGGTTTTGAGATTTGAGAATCTGTAGGGAGATCTAGATGGTCACATTTTCTTGTCTCTAGTTGGAGCTCTTGTAACTTTTATTACCTTTTCTTATCTCTTTCAAGAGAAAGTGCTGATGTGAGGACAACTGCATTTCTGAAAAACAGGCGACTGGCGTCATTCATGATTTGCCCCAAGAATAGCCTTTATTTTAGCAGGTGACCCTCTCCCTTTTGGACCTTCTTGAGTGGTTTAAGAAAGCATGTGAAGCCTGGGTTTCCCTGCATGCTTCTTCATGCCTCCTTTCCACCCGTGACTGCACGGGGTCAGTGGAATCACTGACGTTCTACTGTGTTTCCTAGTTAGTTATTAACACCTCTTCCTGCCTTCATGTGTGCTTTTGTGTTTCCTTGAGAAGGCTGGTCACTTTGAGGAAAATAGTTGGAAATGTTTGTGCACTAGAAAGGGGAAAACCGAATGGCAGCATAAAACTTCAGTTTGGTCACAAACTATATAAAAATGATTTAAGTACATTGGAATTATGTAAGACAGGATGTAATCAGTGCGGATGTAAATGTAGGTAGTAAAAGACAAGGCTAATAACTATATTTTAGAATATTGCCCGATGGAGTATGGAACCTTGTAGGAATATACAATCAGTAGGAATAGTGAGCTGCCCAGTACTGCTGGCCTCACTGCTCTGTCATACATTAGACTACACAGTGCCTTGCTGATCAGAACGTGTGTGATGTTTAGGACACAGTGGTTATTGAGGATGTGGCTGTGATCTTTAGCCAAGAAGAGTGGGCTTTGCTGGATCTCACTCAGAGAAAACTCTATGAAGATGTGATGATGGAAACCTTCAGAAACCTGACCTCAGTAGGTAAGCATGACATTTTTTAAAAATAATTCCTTTTACAAGCAAAAATATTTTTCTCATCAATGTTGCTAAAATATTCGGGATGAGAAATGGGAATAAATAATTAAATAAGATAGGCATGTTCCCATTGTTTGTGGACAGGACATAGTCTGGGTTTCACCAAGACCAAAATCTCTTTGTAGGAGAGTTTTTATTTCTCTTGTGATTAGAAGCCCTGAGGCTCTTAATCGTTGTAAATATAAGCAGTGCCCTCAGGGTCTGAGAAATTTGTGCTGTGGCACCTGGTAATGAGTGTTACTATGTTTACTACACATTTGATGGTATTTTTGGTGTCAAATTCACAATTCTCTATATACAGACACCGTGAAGAGCCATGTTTTGGTTCATTGCTCTTTCTGTCTTCTCTAATAAAGCACATGAGCACCATGCCAGCCACACCCATTTTTGTTCCTGCAGGAGAAAGGAAGTAGAGATAGGGAATTATATTTGGATCACTTGGCTAGAAAACTTCTATTTGGTGGTGAACACAATTTCAGTTACTGGGGTTTGCTTTTTCTGATTTTAGAACTCCTCTCATACCTGGTTCTGAACGCTTCCTATTTTAATATTTATTGTCTAGTGTGTGCAAAATGTTTATCCTTTGCTCTCCTAATTACACCCGTTTGTCACCATCATTATTAATCTTCATGGATATATTTCAAAGTAAATTGCATTTTAATCATTACCAAAGTGCTGAAACAGCAAAATGTGGCTAAATATTTATTTGTTCACAGCACCCTTCCCTTTTTGTTTCATATTGTGAACTTCAACTTTTAAATAGCTGGGTCAGTCTCTGAAGACCATAATGATGGAGGAACGCTACCCACTGAACATACAGTGCTGCAACTCATGAAGAATGACACTTGGTCCTCCAGGTCAGGAGAAACTTTTGAATTGCCTGGGAATACTAGCCAACACGAAAAACATTTAAGGTGAGAGTCATTCTTAAGCACAAATAGTGCATCAGAACAAGGTCCTGAAATGTCAGTAAGCTATGTACTTGTATCCATAGTGATTTCAAAAGATTTGGAAAAGCAGAATTTAATGATTGTGAAATTTTCCCACAAACTTATATGAAGACATCTCAAATATGGAGCTTTTATAGTACACTCAAAATCAGGCATTAGTCTGCTAACTGAAAAATTTGTGAAACAAACCTACCTGTCACAATTTGTGAGAAAGATGTAGGTGTGTACTTTCATAAAAATTATATCCTTGGAAGTCATGTCAAATATTTCAACGTACGGTTGCAATGAGATTGTTTCTCAGTTTTAGCGTGTGTATGTAAACAGTGCTTGCTGTGGAGCAGTAAAGTGGCACAGCGCCCCACTGTGTACTGAAAAAGCAGCATTCCAGCTCTCCAGCCATTCCACAATAGGTAGGTGTGGTAGTCACCTTTTTAAAAAATGGATGAGCTTAGAAAGTCTCTGAGCCATTTTACTTTGTTCTATGTGGAGCTGAGTCTGAATCAACTTGGCACCAGAGTATAGTGGATGTGTATACGTAATCCTTTGTAAAATAGAGGATTGGCAGAAAAAGAAGACCCCCCAGCAGAAGGATTGACACAGTGGCAACCAAGGGCTCAAACAAAAAGTGTCACCAGAAACAGACAGTGTTTCATCTTGTTGCACTTAGAGTTGCAATGAGTCAGAGCCCATTCAGTAGCACCTCGTGGTGGCAATATATGAACCATACCTAAAAAGTATGTATTGAACAGTGTTTTCACAATAGAACACTGTAATAAATGTGAGTCAGATATTGTGTGTTTGAAACAAATTTCGCTTGGATACCCTTATTAGAAAGCCACATATTATAGGACAAACTGGCCAAAATTGTAGTTTTTGTCCTAGGTCTTTTAACCTATGAAGCTTGACAATTCAGAGCAAAAGTTATTCATGTTAACTGTTTTTTAATGTTGAGGTAGGAATCAAATATATTGCCAACAACATGATGCCTACTTTTAACAGAAATTATATTGGAGAGAACCTCTGTGGAAGTAATGAAGACTACCAGTGTGCGGCAACTTTCAATGGACTTCAAAATCTTACCGTGCTTCAAAGAAATCCTCCAGAAGTAAATCGAACTGAAAGCTGTGAGTTTGGAAATATTTTCATGGATCACTTATCACAGAAGTATCAAAGCAGATTGCACACTGGATATACCTCTCACGTATCTCTCCCTCCTATGAGAGTTTTTAATGGAAAGAAACCACATCATGGTAAGGTATATGACAACGACGTCATTGGTATCTCACCACTCGAGGCTCCTGTGACAACACTCAGTAAGGAGAAACGCTGTGAAAGCATTGACCGTGGGATGCATTTCTGTATGTTCTCATCCTTTTGGACACATGAGCTAGGCCATGAACATGAATGTATAGAAAATTGTAAAATCCGTACTTATCCTTCATCTCTTATTTTACATAAAAAGTTTAATAGCAGAGATACACCGTATGAATGTAAAGAATGTGGTAAAGCCTTTAGAAAGCCCTCCTACCTCACTCGACATATAAGAGCTCACACTGGAGAGAGGCCTTATGAGTGTAAAGACTGTGGGAAAGTCTTTAGTCAATCCTCATATCTCATTGAACATAAGAAAATTCACAGTGGAGACAGGGACTATGTATGTAAGCAATGTGGAAAAGCATTCAGTCATCCTTCTAACCTCTGTCAATATATAAGAACGCACACTGGAGAGAAGCCTTATAAATGTAATGATTGTGGGGATGCCTTCAGTCTGTCCTCATCCCTTAATGTACATAAAAGAATTCACAGTGGAAAGAGTGCCTATGAATGTAAGCAATGTGGGAAAGCCTTTAGACAGACCTCACACCTCATTCGGCATATAAGAACTCATAATGGAGAGAGGCCTTTTGAATGTAAAGACTGTGGGAAAGCCTTTATTCAATTCTCAAATCTCATTAAACATAAAAAAATTCACAGTGGAGAGAGGCCTTATGAATGTAAGCGATGTGGGAAAGCCTTTAGAGAGATATCAAACCTTACTAGCCACTTAAGGATTCACACTGGAGAGAGACCCTATGAATGTAGGCAGTGTGGGAAAACCTTTAGATGTTCCTCAGTTCTCACTACCCATGTTAAGAAGACACAGTGATGAGCGACCCCATGAATGTAATGAATGTGGGAAAACATTTAAGCGGTTCTCAGCCCTCACTACATATAAGAACTCACAGTGGTGAGAAGCCCTATGAATGTAAGCAGTGTGGGAAAGCCTTTAGTCTGCAGTGTGCCCTCTCTCGCCATTTAAGGATTCACACTGGAGAGAGACCCTATGAATGTAAGCAGTGTGGGAAAGCCTTTACACTACAGAATAACCTCATTCGCCATTTAAGAATTCACACCGGAGAGAGGCCCTATGAATGTAAGCAGTGTGAGAAAGCTTTTGTTTCTTCTTCATCCCTCAATACACATATCAAGATTCACACTAGAGAGAACTTATGAATGCAATGAGTGTGATAAAGCTTATAAACCAGGCTCTGTTCTCAGTTCACATAAAGGGACTCAGTGGAGAGGGGGTCCTGTTAATAAAAGGAATATGGGGAAACTTTTAGGAATTACCCCATTCTAAGCATAGTGGGTCACATAATGGGGCCTTAGGAATGTAAGCAGTCTGGGAAAGCCTTTTGGGATTGTCTAGCCCTTACTACACATACAGGAAATCGCAGACAATAGAGAGGCCCAGTGAATGTAATAAATATAGGAAAGTCTTCGACACCTCTCAGTCCTCACTGCACATAGGAGGGTTGACACTGGAGTAAGGTCCTATGATTGTAAGTGCTGTGGCAAGCATAGAGTTTCTTATCACCTGAACACAGAGCAGGGAGAGGCCTTATTAGGAATGTAGGAAAGCCTTTAGTTGTGCTTTTCCAACACTAACTATATTAAAGTAGAACAGTTGAAGGTGTTAGGAATACAGCATGAGGGAAAGCCTTTAGTTGTCATCCTTCATGACACAAATTCACATGGAAAAAAATAACCTTACTGATGTTAATCAGATTAGAAACTTGATGTCCTTTCCATCTCATATGATCCATAAAAACTTATAGTAGAGATTACTCTTTCAAAAACCGGGTATTTCATCCTTCTTTAACTTCGGATAGCAAATGCCTGTGATGCTAGTTAAAGAACAAACTTTCTCAATGATTCAGAATGCAATTGTAACTCAAAGATGGAGTCATTATAACTTTTTGTGCCTTTGAAGAAAAGGAAAATGTTACAATAACATTGGAATAATCCTCATATTTGATTGTCACATCCTAAATCCAAGCTAAATTTGACCTCCCTTAAAGATGTTGGCTATTACAAAATGTGCTGCATGATATGGAAAATATTAATACTTTTAAAACTTTGTATACAATAAAATAACACTGATCGGATACTTGCTTTGAGTGTTTTGGTTTGTTTCTGTATTTATCACATTCTTCTATTCTCCTCATTGTAGAGTTAACTTTCATCCTTTCAATTGCTAAATTTATCATAGGGTAAAATGTATTTTGACAATTATTACTGATAATTATAATTACTCTATGATACTTCCTGTGACAGCCGCTTTGGTCCTTTATTAATTGGAATACTGCAAAAAATAACTTTTCCTTCTCTCTCTTTTATATATTAAATTGTTTGTACAAATATAAAACTCCAGAGAATCACACCTTAAAATCACACCCACTGCCTGCAAGTCAATTTTGACTCAATGGTCCTATGCCTATTTTACATGGCAGTAGATGTTTATGAAAGAAGGCAGCCTCAAGTTTCTGCTATTTAGCAGATGGTGGCTTTGGACCACTTACCTTTTGGTTAACTGCCTCATGCCTAACCGCATCAATAAGCTACTGGGGTTATTACTTTAGTTGCCCCAGGTTTAGTTATTAGGAGTTATGTTAAGTAGTTTTTTGTTTTATTTGGATTTTTTTTCACTTGTACCTATTTTCATACTTGCTGCAAATATTCAAAACATATCTTGCCCTTTTCCTTGCTGAGCCTTGCAATCATAATTTTCTCCTAGAAGGTTGTTAAGTGCTACTGAGTCGGTTCTGACCCATAGCAACCTTATGCACAACAGAGTCAAACCTTGCCCAGTCCTGAGTCATCCTCCAGTCGTTCCTATGTTTGAGCCCATTGTTGCAGCCACTGTCTCAATCGAGTTCCTTGGGGGCCTTCCTCTTTTTTTGCTGCCCCTGTACTTTATCACACATGATATTCTTCTACAGGGACTGGGCTCTGCTGACAATGTGCTCAAAGTATGTAAGACATATTAGGCTTACTTTAACAATAGAATGTCATTTAGGTGCTAAAATCACAGCACTAGGAAGCTTATAGCTACTGTGCCCGAAAGTGAGGAGAGCTAGGAGATACATGAGGGGCTTCAACAACTTTCATGGAAATTTTCCATTTTCTTTTCTTTTTTCTCATATTTTTGAAGCTACCTCAAATGCATATATTTATATCTATTCCTGTGTGTCTCTGTGTATTGTAAAATACCTTGGGATCATCATGCCCACATCTCTGATACCCATCTAACACTACAGTGTTCATTTTAGTCTTTCATATATTTGTATGGTACTGTATTCTTCAATTTTAATAATAATGGCTCCCGTGATCTATAACATTATTTGTTCACCCTTAAATATATGTACCAAGGAATTGTAGCAATCTTATGAAGTGATAAAGGATTGAGCTTTATCAGGCCAACTTGGGCTTTCAGATTTCTGAGAGTTAAAAGTGCATTTGAGGCTAAAAAATGAGAGTTGTGCAGAATAGTGCATTATTTAATGTATCATAGCCAAAGTCTCTAACTGATATCAGTAGACCTCTACCTCCATAGGTCTGGTAAGAACATGAGGGGTTGTACTGATAGTTTTTACTTGTGACTAACTAAACTGGATTCCCTGGCATGTTATCCTGCTGCATATAAAGTGAGCCCTTCATAGGGGGAGCTAGTCCTACTGACCCACAGAAGTGGAGCTGAATGCCCTTGAGCTGAGGCTTCTGGGAGTGGGGTGCCTGTGGGCAATTAATTCCGTCATCTGGGTTTGCTGACCGCAGAGCTTGAGCTAAATGGCCTTGGGCTGAGACTTAGAGTTGAGGTGTATGCCCCTTTGGACATCTATAGGCAGCCCTGAAAGAACATTGTACCATTTCCTGATGAAAAGCTTTCTCCTGAGCATTTCTCACTTGCCTTACAACCTGTTAACTTCCTTTAAAAAACATCCATAAGCATGAGTATTGTCTATAAGTTAGGTAAGCATTGCACTCAATATTATAGCCTAGAGATAAAGAATACTGGTTAAAATGACATAGTGGGTAAGACCAGGGCACCAAATGGTTGCCTGATGGTAATCTCTTAAAGCGTAATTTTGTGATCGTATTGGCCTGGTCAATAAAAGTAAAGAAGGAGCGTAAATTGAGCTTCCTGCATGGTGAGAAACATCTGGGCCTTTGAGGGTATCATGTCTTAGAGACATGGGAGTTCTGCACTGGACCTCTCTGATCTCATTCTGTGCATCTCTGCATTCATATTCCTTTTTTAAAAAAATACTGCTGATAAAGGGATGGCCTTTTTTAAGTTCTGTGACTCTACCTAGGGCATCAGAAGACTAAGATGCACAAGCCCCAAACAGTGGTATTTTCAGTATCACCTATGTGTGAAAACTGGACAATAAGGAAGACGAGAAGAACTGATGCATTTGAATTATGGGGATGCCCTTGGATGAAGACCCAGAGTCCTAGTGAAGTTCCAGTGGGGAGGAAGGCAAAAGGCAAAAGAAAGGAAGACTCTCTCTCCATCTTTCTTATACAACAGAGTCAGCTTTGTAAACAGAAGAAATGTCTGCGGCTGCTCAGTCTTTAAGGATCCTTTAGTACCTGACACACCACTGTCAAGGATACCATTGCAGGTTGACAGGGGAAGAAAGCATTCAAAGGTTGAATATGTTAAAAATTCCTTTCCTGGAGAGGGTCAGATTCTAACTAACACATGGAAACTTGTAACTACAGATTCTCATAGGTCTTCTATTAGCTACCTCACAAAATAGTGCAGAAAAACTTGCAATGCAGTTTGAAAGCTCATAACACCTACTTTCAAATACCCTCACCCTGCCGTCTAGTGATTAAAATGAAGTCTTGACATTCGCTTCTATTACACAATGAAATGGGAAAAGAGTTTAGGTACGTGCGGCTCTCTTGACCTAAATGGCCACTGTCTGCCTGCCACGTATTCCCAGAACGATTTCCCTTCCACAGCTTCTTCTACAGACACACAACCCTTAAAGCACTTCCTACGCTCAATTCTGTTCACTGAGACTGTCTGACCCCTGAATTAGCAGCTGACAGCATATCCTCTTTTCTCATGTCCATATTGGTTGCACACAGGGTCTGCCTGGTACATGTTAAATGCTCAACCAGTGCCTGTTGAGCTACACAAGGGCTCCAGGGGTTTTACCCAGCCACTGCAATAAGTAGTCCACTGCCTAAAACAATGTTGTTGTCTTCCTGTTAATAATACCCCTCCTTAATGACAGAGGAAAAAAACTAGTAATCACAGCCAATATCTAGCACCATTAATATTTTTTGCCTAATTAAATTTGAGTTTTAGACAATTTGTTTAGTGTGAGTATGTTTCTTATAACATGCTATACATGGGGCATACTTATAGTAAAAACTTAATTCATACTTATCTGAAATTAATTGAACAGTGAGTCTTGTATTTTACCCAGCGGCGCCATTAATTTTTAATGTCCATTTATGTTCATGTACTAGCGACACAATGTAGGATTTGCTTTGAGTCCATACGCTTCAGTCATATTTACCACTGTTCCTATAGACTACACAGAGATTTAAAATGTCTTAACACCAAATGGCAATTCCTAAGAAATATGACTTATGAAATATCAATATACTATCATAGTTACTAAAGGAATTTTTTCCATCTAAGCTTACCTCCACTCTCAAATAAGGCCTTTTTCTCACTAGATTAATCTACTTTGTATTCCATTTTCCCTTGAAACAAAATAAAACAAAAAAGTCATACAGCACTGGTTTCTTGCAAGTTTAATACATCAGTGTAACTACTTTATAGTTCTTTCTGATTTGTGTTCTTTTTTTTTTTTTAACATTTTATTAGGGGCTCATACAGCTGTTATCCCAATCCATACACACATCAATTGTGTAAAGCGCATTTGTACATTGTTTCTCAAAACATTTTCTCTCCATTTAAACCCCCG